GGGACCGGGACTGAGACCGGTTATGGAAATAGTGTTTGGGACCGGGACTGAGACCGGTTATGGAAATAGTGTTTGGGACCGGGACTGATTTGGGCCCGACCAGGGACAGATTTTTGGCCGTCTCTAACCGGTGGCGGCGGCAGCTGCGAGTAGCGATGATGGTCACTGAAACAACTATCATATTAAGTTTTTTTTGAAGGAACTATCATATTAAGGTTATATGAAACGAGAGTTAATTAATAATATTTTAGTTTCTGTCGTATTATTGTCTCATCTTGTTCCACTTTTTTTGGTGGAACAATAAAAAGTATTTTTTGTCTAATGCTGTCAGTTCTTGTCCCTGTCCAATGTCGCGACAAACGTATGATAATGAGTTCTTGTCTGCTCCCGTATCACGCTGAACATGAGACAATGAGTTTTGTCCCGTCCTGTGTCCCATATACCAAATACAACCCTAAAGACTAGACGGTGCACATAAGCTAGTGTAAATACCCACGGTTACCAAAAGAATGTTGTCGTATGTTACATTTTGTATTTTCTGCATTGATTCAAGATACGTAATCAATACACGTATGAATGTGTGAATATACATATACTTATACGTATGTATATGTATATATCTGTGGGTGAGGGCACCAAGTTTGAGAAGGATCTGGTCTTAATTGCTTCGATCCTCCGACCATATTTGGTGGTTCCAGCTTCATGCAAAAATTAACTCCTCAAAAGCTAATCGGAGATACCACCGCCGATTATGGTGCATGTGCCAGACTCAAAACAAGGAACTCCTTCTATTTCTTCCGATCCAAGCTATTTATCAATGGAGGTTAGGTTTAATCACTCAATTTCTTCATCTCTACAAAGTCCAATCGAAACAGCGTCGAATCACTGAGCTTCGACAGTAATCGGAGTTCAGGAATTCCGCCATTATCGCCATTGATCGATCTCAACCGCACGTCCAGAATACAACTCCAGCCCTAATTAACAAGGCATGTTATTCTCGTCCAAATACTTATGTGTTTAAGTATTCTTATAACCACAAATCCGTAATTAACTTCATTATCGTTGCTGAATGCATTTGTTGATCACTAACAGCAAATATTTTGGTAGAATCGTAGAATCATATACAAAATTAGGAAAGGAGAAGAGCTAATTAACAGATTATGTGTTAAATCCTGCATTAGATATGTAAAAAAGGGGATTTGATGATGATGCATGTGGATGTGAAATTAGAACAGGGCAGAATTTGATGGATTTGATTATGATTTTGGTTAAGCTAATTACATAGAAGAAATGCAGCCAAATTGAAATCCAAATCAATCAGAACCACTCAAAGATAATATCTGCAACATATTTCTCAGTTGAGAAGATATTCCAATCATCCTCTTTTGAGGTATCAGTTGGATTCAGGTAAGATTGTTAGGGATTTTCATGGCTGTTCTTTCAAGGCCTCGGTCAAAGCACGTGTAACCTAATCCAGACAACTATAGTTAACAAAATAATAGTAGATTTTACAAGTATCTTCAACAGATTCTTTATAGTTTTTCCAAAATAAAAAACGAACCGTTAAAAATTTATGAAAGAATCTAATTTCCAACTCCAAGAGAATTTCTCTTTTAGAGATTTTTAATGTTAATTATTATAATAAAAAACTTAATCTAATTGTTGGAAATGAATAAGAATAATAATTTCCTTTTTTAAGAAAATTCTTTAGACTTGGAGTTTTCTCGATATTCCATTTTGAATAATCCAACATTGATTATAATACTAAAATATTCCGTTCATCTAAATATTATCTTTTTATCTAAAAATTTATTTTCAAAAATTCTTATTGTGGTCTCACTTGGTAATTATTTTTTGGGCGTTCTCCATATTTGGAGAAAAAACCCTTCCCTCTCCTACCTTCTATATTTTGGAGATAGTTTTGAGGAAGCTTTTGGAGCAAAAATTTGGCTCAAAATCTTCATTTTCTTCATTTTGAAGAACCTGTTGGAGATGCCCTTATAGTATATTGTTGTAGATCATTACTCCCAATATAGAAATGTGACTAAATGTGGCCCTTGAGGATCTTACGACTACGTTAAAATAGAGATTTTTATTTCAAGAGTTGTGTTCTCATTAAAATAAGAAAACGAGAGGAAATGTGAAAATCTCCAAATTCAAAAAAAAAAAAAATTAAAACTTATATTTAAAGAAGTTGCTATTTATACTTGTTCGAGTCAAATGTGATTCGTTTTTGTGATTTTAAGTTTTGATACTCTACTATAAAAAAAATTATAGAGCATATGTTAGAGCTGCTCTAAGGGTTTGTTACGATAATTAACATCAAAGGCGATTGGTTCAAGTCCTTTCAAGATCAGTGTAGATTTTACAGGCCATCTCGTTTAAGACCCTCGTGATTAGTTGAGGTACAGTTGAGATAGGTACAAACGGACTCCTTCCATAATTAAAAAAATATAGCAACAAAGAAAACATAGGGCACATGGTCTATTAATGGAAATCATTGATGACTACTTGGGTTCAACAGCTCCATGGGGATGATACATGTACTCAACTTTCCCCCTTTTGCCCATGAATTATCGGTTAAAGGTTGAACTAGGGCCACCCAAAAACGACCCAACCAATCCCAAAATAAGCCGGTTTAACTAAATCCGTCAAACCACCAAGTAATTGGTTTTGGAATTGGTCTGGTTCAGTTAAACCCAACCCAACCCGTTATATCATTTATCAATTTTAACTTGTATATTTTTCGGATTAATTTAAATAAAATAAAATGATTAAAAAACAATAAAGAATGAAAAAAAAGGGAAATCAGAAAAAGATTATAACATAGGTTTTTGTTCAAGCACCTCGATTTTTATAAGATCTTGTAATAGGATAAGAACCCAGTCCCACAATAGAGATTCTTATGAAAACTTCAACAAGAACCTTTGTTATAGATACAGTGTTATGTTGTGTTCTCGAAATCTTTTGTACAAAGCAAATGAAAGGAGAGGGAGAAAAAGGGGAGAAAAGTAAAATACCCGTGTTTCTACAACTTTTTTGTAGGAGAGAGAAATGAAAGGGAAGAAAAATATTAATAAGATCCCTCTCAGAACTTTACTACCAAACATAAAAGAAACGAGAAGAAAAATATTGATAAGTTTTCTCTCAAAACTTTCCTCCTAAACGTGGAAGAAAAAGGAAGGGGAGGAAAGGAAATAAAAAACATTAAATCTTAAAAAAATACTAAAATTACAAAATTATCCGATATTTTATTTTAAATGATACATTTTTAAAAAGTATATATGTAAAAATGACATTTTTATTTTTATTTCTCTCCTGTTTATTATAAAAAATATAATTTTCTTTTACTTTTAAGAACACAATTAAAAAACTATTTTCCTTTTCTTTCTCCTAAATTTAAAAGACCTAATTGCATGAAAAAATTAACTTATTTTAATTTGATTTTTATTTTGGGTAATGTACCTTCAAATTTTTTATTTTAATACTTAGTATGTAAAGTTTTAAACATTTAAGTACCCGCGTAATCGACTGAAGCATTAACTCTTTCTTCTAATAAACCACAATACATAAAAACTAAATTTAGATTAAGATATCTATGTCAACAAATAATACTTAATGAAATAACACATCAACATGGTAACCGATTATTCATATATTTAAATGTTTAAAACTTTACATCTTATGTACCAAAATGAAAATTTTAAAAATATGTTACATAAAATATAAATTAAATTAAAATATGTTATTTTTTAAAAATGTAATTTGTCCAACTAAAAAACAATTGGATAAAACTTTTGCCAAAGTGACGTGTATTATTCTATCAAGGGATTAAATTAATTGGGTTTACGATAGTTACGTAGGCCTACGATTCATTCGGGATTTAACATTTAAAATACCATTAGATATATCTTAATAATAAAGGCAATACCATCAGAATACGTCACCGTTTATTGGGTCATATTTAAGCGGTGGAAACAGGCTTATAGTTGAACTAAAGTCGGCCATCCATCTATACATATAGCATCGCTGTATCTCTCTCTATCTCTCCAAACACACATACCAAATCGGGATTTGGAAATTTTTGATCCGAAAATCTACTAAAATCTTTAATTACCTTTTTCACTGTTTCTCAATTTATGTGTTCAAAACAGTTAACTATGGCTATTCATCATTCTTAATTCCAAAATTTGGAATCACATATATTATATAACCAGGTTCTCTGATTCCAGTTTGCAATTTCCGATCATTGTTCTTTGATCCATTGAAAATTTCAAGTTTTTTGGATTATCGTTGGGATATGTCGAGTAGAGATACGAATTGCAGATCATCATCGATCGGAAGGAGGAGAAGGAAGATCAACGCGGTTAGAATGAACGGAAAAAGTAAATCAGCTGTAGGGAAACAGCGGCGGCCGGTGGTCGGATCTCTTCCCGGCGATTTACTGATTGATGTCCTTGCTCGAGTTGCATCCTCCTCCTTCACAGATCTGTTCAATGCTAAATTAAGGTACCTTTCCATCTCTTCACGCAAGCTGCATCTATTTTTCCCTATTTGATATACAGTTTCTTTCTATTACGTTTTGAGAATTATTAAACAAGAGTTTTAACAAGTTGACATAAACGAAATACACACATCAAAATCGATTTGTAAGTTTTTACAAATTATTTGTTTATAAAAGATACGGATTCATTAATTACTAGTACTACATTATGATTTCCAAGTTTGTACGCAATACACCATGCCAACAGTTTTCTTTTGATACATGTTAGTATTAATTTTGTACCAACTTCAAGTTATATATATAAAAATTTATCATTCTGTGTAAATTCTGAGTGATACTTTGAGTTTCCATTTAACACATGTAAGGTTTAAAAGCTTTTAATTGTAAGGACTAAAACTTGTGCACATTGTTTAATCAAAATAATTAAAGTTATAATATTTAATATTTAATACATTAGAAATATATAAAAACTAATAAATATACTAGTAAGTTGGTATCACATTAATACCTTCGTATGTGATATGTAATTATGTGACGTCCAATACCATGTTCCAAGTTATGATTCTTTTTTAGTGTATCGTGTGCCATATCTCATATACATATCGTAATAATTTTTATTTTAAGGTATTATTTTATATAATTTTTTTTTATTTAAGACTAGTATTTAATATATTGATAAATATATATTTATTTCATAATGAGTTTGATTCATATCTATACATTGCGGTTCACAATGTAAAATCTTTTTTACGTGGATTACAAACATTTTAAAAAGTTTCATATTTTAAAACAAATACATTTGAGAATAAAAAAAACAAACACATGTTAACTGATGTTTTAAATCATAATCTTAGATAAAAAAAAACTCATATGAAATAACACATGATTCACTAATTTTTAAAATTATTATAATTTATGGGTTTTAAAAAAATCCATTACAATAAGTTTTTTAATTAACAAGAAAAAAACAATTTTTCATCATGAACAATAGTCTTAGGGAGTTTTCTAAATTTAGAGATTTTTTATTCATGTTTTTCCGATTTTATTTAATTTAGAGAAAGTTTCTGAAATTCTATTAAAACACAAAATGAGCCTAAATTCCTGAATTTGGTTTTGTTATGCAACTATCCAATTGTCATGTGACAATCAATAATGGCATCCCAGTACAGCTTCTGTCCCCTTTTTCTTTCATTATTTTGGTGTTCTTGTGGGGTCATCAAACGGAAAAAAGACAAACATTTTTTAAATTAAAAAATCATTTTTATTGTCACCCCATTTGATATTAAACTCCATCAAAGTTTATGTCAATCTGTATATCCAACTTGGTGATAACAACCCCTATTCCTATTCCAAAGAAAATTATGTTACTAAAGGGTCATTAGTTCAGTACCATAATAACTATCTTAAAATAGAGATTTTAAGATTTAAGGTATATTTTTGCTCCAACAGTTATGCCATAACCAATGCTAAAATATAGATAAAAAGAACCGGGCTAGAAATCTACAAATTTGAAGAAATCTTTAAGGCGCCATATTTAATTATTTTCACCGACGGAGGCATTGAAATTAAGTGTTTAAGAGATAAAAATAATATTTTATTGAATGTATTTGCGTATGTACTTGAAATAAAAATCCTATTGTGGTTGATGAAATCATCCTCTTGTTCTGTATCTAGTTGTCGGGATTTCCTCGGAGCAGCAGAAGACGAGTACATCTTTCAACATGTTTCTATCGATAAGTTTCCAGTAATTCACTGGTTTCCTCCAAGTGATGAACTTCTTTCATTTCTAAATCAATGTATCGATAAAGGGAACCCCGAGGCAATGTTCAGACAAGGAATGGTATGTAACTGCTAAATTTGGACCATTTATCCCCTATATATATATATATATATGCTGGAATCTCCTTTCTTACCTAAAAATGTTATAATAGCTTTATTAAGACGCTTAGATAATAAGCGTCCTATAAAGCTAATTTTGTTGTAGCGACTAAAACAAACTCCGTTGTGTTTTGATGCATTTTATTGTATAAGAAAATACTAACTGCGTTTATTTCAATTTATCATCAAAACTTTGCAGATAGAGTTCTTCAGTTTGGCACGGATAGAAACGGGACTCGAGTTCTTGAAAAGGGCGTCGGAAAAAGGCCATGTAGAGGCAACATATGTATACGGTATGATTCTACTCTCTAGAGGCGGCCAATCGAGTCAACAAGGCCTGAATATCTTAAATTCGATGAAGGTATCAAGATCCAAAAACTTGAAAATTCGCGATTGTAGAGCTAAAATCAAAACGATTATAAGAGAAATGTGGATCAATAATTCGATTTCACTAAACGAGGTTAGATGCAAGTGTCAAGAACGAAACACCACCGCCGCCGCCTGTTTCATAAAAAGAAAATTCGATGAAGAAGAAGAGATTATAGGTTGCGACGCTTGTGGGTGGCATCGAGAAGTTATCTCGTTCTGTAAAATGGTAGATGGTATCGTTTAAGACGTACATATTATTTCTCGACCATCTCGAATTATTACGATCGATTTTTAGAGGTAAATTATATGATATATATATATATATATATATATAGGTATGATATTGTGCAAAAAGATGGTGACTTGTGTAGTTATGTTTGTTAGCGTATTCAAAATCTGCAATTTTGATTTTGGTTTATACTGTGTGATATATTTTTCTCCTTTTCTTTTTCATGAATATTCATAGTTTTATTTTTTTATATTTATATGATTTTAGGTTTTTTATCTTCTTTATTTTATAATTTTGATATCAATTCCATATTTGTATGATCTATAAGTTTCTATTGTCATATCAAGAGCATTATTTTAAGTTGATTCATATTTTGGGTAACGTATTTTCAAAACTTTTAATTTGGTACCTAAAATATAAAGTTTTAAACATTTAGGTATCTGGTTGAAGAATAAAATTTCATGTCACTAACCACGTCAGCAAATAATACTGACTTGGATATCACATCACTCACCACATCAGCGTGAAATGTTTAAAATTTTACATTTTAGGTTTTAAAATGTAAGTTTTGAAAATACGTCACCCAAAGTAGGACTCAAACTAAAATACATTTTTTTTCATGTAATTTGTCCTATCAAGAAAATCAAATAATAAAAGTTTCATCATTTTTTAAAATGAAACCCCTATAAACGATCCTAATCCTATATATATATATGAATTTGCAATATCTAATTCATCTAATAAATACCACTTATCACTTGGATTGTGATGCACTAGTTAAACTTGAATCCTGATTTGATTCTAGATACTGTCAAAACCCTTTTGGCTATGAAAGTTCACCTACAATAACTCCAAGTTATTCAAATTATTTTTTTGGTGTACTTTGTTTTGCTCCAATTTTTTTTTCTTCATATTCATTGATTTTCAAATTAAACATTAAGAGGACCAATGTTTATATGTTCAAAAAATAGTTATAACCACATTTTTAATCAAATCCGTTGACTGATAACTATTAAAATATCTTCATCACTTTAAAGCAATATCTTTAATTAGTACTCAACCAATAGTATTAAGTTTCTATATTTTCATCGTTACCACATGATGTGTATATACGTTCATCTGATAGAGATATTATATCACGTGTGTGGACCAATGCCATATGTGCACGATACACCAAAAGATTTTTGGAAACACATAGACGAAAGCCATCCATTATCCAAATGTTTGTCCAATAAGTGTTTACTTATAGGAGTCAACATTATAATTTATTTTGATGTGTAAGATTTTAGTACATCAAAATATATCGAATGCAAATAATTTACCGGATAAGCGCTTGTCTGGATAAGAGTCGTCATCTTCACTTACCGAGTAAAACTCTTGAACTATGTCATGTTCATCTGATCAGGAAATTTATTCGGTAAGCACTTACCAAGTAAGCGTTTAGTAAACGACCCATAAGATATTTTTTTTAAAGTTTTACTTAAAATCAAGATTAATTTACATGAAAATAATATCATTGATTTATTTTAAAGTTTACATCAACAAGATAAATGGTAAAAGTAATATACTTAGAATCTTTCATCGTATATGACTTTAAAACTCTTAAAAGCCCTACGGAGTTAACTCAATTGACAATAAAACTTTAGCCTTTAATTGGAAATTTTTTCTGAGTTAACCAGTTGGAGTCCTTACAAGGCTACTGAGGATTTCTAGTTGTTCTTTATGGCCTCTGTAATTAGTCGAAGTCTGTACAAGTTAACCTGGACACCCACACTAAAAGAACTCTAAAGTCTTGAGGCGGTCATCATAAATTGCAAATATTTGATTTTTTTTAAAGATATGTTAGAAAAGAAAATCCATATCCTTAAACCAAGATAAGTGAATCTCATATGAATTAGAGTCTCAGTATGATACGACTAGAAGGGTATTCGCACAATTCAACGATATAAATTTTGATTTTAATATTTCGTTTTTTTTCTCTGTCGATATTATAATATGAATTTATGTGTTTTTGAGCAAACAATAATGTTTTTCTTTAAAAATTTAAATTTGAAGATATCACAAAAATTAAAAAATATATATAAAAGTTCTTATTTACACAATAATTTTCTTTATTATAAAGAATATTCGTTGAGCACATGGAATCTAACTTTATATTGGAGTGTATCGTGTTATATGTATTCAGTTTGCTTCACGCAACCAAACTCCTTTAAAACCTCTTCTTTTGCCATTCAAACTTTCCAAGATTCGAACCGACTAACCATCTTCATCTTTTTTCAGTCAAGGGTTCGAACCCACTAACCATCCTTCATCTTTTGAGTAAAGGGTCAGGCTCGAACCCACCACCCATCCTTCATCTTTTTCGAGTAAAGGGTTCAAACCCACTAGCCATCCTTCATCTTTTGATCGAACCCACTAGCCATCCTTCATCTTTTGAGTAAAGGGTCAGGCTCGAACCCACTAAACCATCTCTTATCATCTTTTGGATAAAGGGTTCAAGACTGAACCTTTGCAACCGCCATGGAAGTCAATCAAGAAAATCTTGATCCTTTCTTACTTCCATCTTTCACTCTCATCTTCATCTCCATATATCTTCTTGGCTACACAACACTTTTCAGGAATTGGGATTCCAAACAAAGACCAGAAGCTTCAAGTTGTCTAATCTCCTTAGCTCACGGCACACCGGCGGTCCTCTTATCAATCTACGCCACTTTCCTCCACCAACAACCACCGCACCACCACCACTTCGCCGCCAAAAACATACCATTCCAAACCCTAGTTCTTGATTTCAGCATCGCGTATTTCTTCACAGACACTTCACATTACTTCATCTTCATCCCCAATGATCATTTATTCATTGCCCACCATTTAGCCGTTCTCTATGTGTTCATAACCTGCCGGTTTGTGGTGGGTTCCGGCGGGTCCGCCGTCCTCCTCCTCCTTATGTTGGCTGAGGTGACTAGCCCCTGTCAGAATGCATGGAGTCTTGCTAGGTTCCGGAAAGATGATGTGGCATCGGCGGCGAGGTTTTATGGTGGTTTATCTCCTTATTTTTATGGGTTTTATACGGTGGTTAGAGGGGTGGTAGGGCCGTTGGTGGTGCATAAAATGGTGGTGTTTTACTTGAACGGCGGTGGCTCCGGCAAGATTCCGGTGTGGGCTTGGGTTTCTTGGATGGTTGTGATTGTGAATGCAATCTTGGTTAGTGTTTTGTGGGTGTCTAATCTTTGGTTAAACTTGTTTAAAGAAAGAAGCAAGATTAGGAAATTAAGTTAGAAATACATATTTAAAAGATAGAACTCTTTTGATTTTATTTAGGGTAAATGGTTTACGTTTAGTCGTCTATTTATGTATCAGATATGTAAAAAATAAATCTTGATATTGATACGTATATCGAGAAAATTAGTAGGTAGGAATGTATTTAATCCACCCATGTTATTTATGTTTGTATGTATGTATTTTAAACTGTATAAAATAATTGGATCATATAAAATTACGTATATCTAGTTTTTTTAGAGGTGTTAATGTCTGAAGTCTTATTTTACTTATGATTAATAAAAGTTGGTGTTGAAGTCTGAAATCTAAATTAACAAGACCAAAAGTCTTAACTGGAAAATGCTCACGAAGACTCTTACCATGGTTAGTGTTTACTGAGTAAATTGTTACATACAGTCGGTAAGTAAACGACAATGTGGAATTTTACCGATAGACACTTATCAGATAAGTGTTTGATGAATGACCGTTGATGATACGGATGTTTCATGCAAATTCAGATAATATATATTTGTTAAAGAAATATGAAATAAATCGTCCTTATTGAGATTTATATATATATAATAAGAATATCTCAAACAACTGAACCAATGTAACTCTGACGTGGGTTGGGGCGCCTAACCGGTTCGTCCGCGGCTATACCTTGTGCACCAAAACAGAACACTTGGTTCATCAAGACCTTGCTCAACGAAGATTGTCGTCTATGGAACTTCGGTTTATTGTGGTTAGCCCATGGGCTCGAGCTCGACCGCATATAGGTCATCACATCAACATTTGTGGGCTTGTGTTCGTCGTCCTCATCGGCTGAACCCGAAGACCAAGATGACCCCGAAAACTGGCTCGAGGGTGAGTGCACTTGCAGGACCCCGTGGGTTAGCCCTTGTGAGAACTTCTTCTTTGTGGACGGGCTGGGACCGAGCACCCTTTTGTTGTTTGGGATCGAGCATTTTGAATATCTTTCCCGGATCGAAATGGGACTGTTTTCGAGTGTACCTTTCCGTAAACGGAAAGAATCCAAGGAATCACGATCGTCGTCGTCTTCTTTCTTTCGAGCCCATCCAAAAAGAAGTTTCAATCGTCTAGCAGCACTAGACCCCGATTCCCGTTGACCATATTCGGAATTTGACCTGGCCGGTGAGTCATACCGACTCAGTTCGCCCGAATACATCGAGTCCTTATCGGGATTTGTATAAAAGATGATCTCAGCATCGGGAATTCGGAATGAAGTTCCAGGACTGCCCCCAATCCCGTGTGTTTTCAAATGGGAAGCGAGGGCAGTTCTGGTCATATAATCATGATAATCGGAGATCCCTCCGGCCGAGATCAGCCTCTTGATCAAGATCTCAGATGAGGCTGATCTCGGTCGTTGTCTAAGGAGATCAAGAGGCGTCATCCGATCGACGTCTTTAATGTTCAAGTCGATATATCGAACGGTCATAAGGAGTTCGACCAGATCGGAATGGATGTTCTCAATAACCGCAACGTGAAGAGCCGTTCGACCATCGTTGTTCTTAACGTTGATGATGTCATCAACATTTACGATCTTCCCACTCACGATATGCTTCATGAGTTCGATCTGCTGATCAACTCGCCGGAACCCCGGAGTTCTGAATCCGGCCACAATCGTGTGAAGAAAAGTGTCGCCGTAACTGTTCGTTAATGCGATCAACGATGGAGATGAAGAAACTAAAAGCTTGACCACTCGTAAGTGACCGTTGTATGCTGCAATATGTAACGCCGTGTTGCCTTGAGCGTCCGTCAACCCGATTAGATCATACGATTCAACCAAATACTTCACAACCTACACAAACTCACACACCGTTCGGGATCAATAATCTAACACAACCACAACAAAACGACGTCAGATGTCTACATGTCTTAATAGACAAGACAGCTTTATAGAACTTAAGTTTATAGAACCAAACAATTGTACGTCTTGTGCAAAAGTGTTACAATAAGTTGATAGAACACGTTTTAGCATTGTAACATGTTTTTAGAACGATTTTGAAATATAAGTGTCTTATTAGTCTTTTTATAAGATATTATTCGAAAAATTTCTTAGGAGAACAACCGTCTTATAAAAAGATATGTTAATAAAACATTTTTCTCAAAATTGTTCAATAAAAAGCTAATATAACACTTTTTTTCAAAATCGTCCTAATTTTTTTATTAGGAAACCCAAATACGTCATAACATCCTATTATATCACCTTTATACATGATCTCAATATATCCCACCTTAAGGTGGGTTCTGCAAAGATAGAAAAAGTTTTTGTTTGAGATGGTTTTTTCATAGATGAAAAAAAGTGTGTTTTTTAATTGGAAGAGACAGATTTAAAGAAAAACTTGACTTTTTACATAAAACATCCCCCTTGAAAGCTAACCGAATAAGTCACTTTTTATATCATTAAACCACTCTAAACGTAGAGCTAATAAGCTGCGAGTCTCATTAAACTGCTAACAATAAGGAACTTAACGAGCTTAACGAGACTCACAAATAGTCAACTATAGATGATTGTTTAGTAGTGGCATAATATATAGAAAAGTGATGTATTCAATAAGTTTCTAAAACTTTATGCAAAAAGCCAAAACATTTCCAAACTTGTCCATTCCAATTAAAAAAAACGCAACTTCTACCTAAGAAAAAACCTTCCCGATCTATACAAACCGAGTAATCCACACAGACAACTCTATCGGTACAGTTACTCATGTAAAGCCAATCAAACACACAGCTTTATCCATTCAGTGGTTCATGGAAAGCCAACCAAAACACCATAAAAACAAAGTGATTAAGCAGCTGAATACCTCAGTTTGACCTCTTCCAGAAGCTGAATGCAACAAAGTAGAACCCTGCAAATCTCTGTACATCAAAACATCATCACCACAATCTTCAACAAGCTGTTTCAAGATTTCAAGACTTCCACCTCTTGCAGCACAATGAAAAGCCCTATTCAGCATCTCCCATTTGAAAACAGACCCAATTTCATCACCCTTTGACCAAATTGTGAAGTCAAGCAACACCTTAAAAACCTCACAGTTCTTACTTCTTGCTGCAGCATATAATATGTCAGTGACACCATATTCACCTTCACCAAAAACCAATAATGGGTCTCTTTTCAATAATTCTTTAACAAAACCCACATCACCAGCTGAAGCAGCTGTGTAGATAAGCCAACCACCATAGCCAGCTCTGATCAGAGAGTTATGACCATGGCCATTGCCATTATTGTGTTCCCCTGCAAGTAGTAGCTTCCCAGCCACTTTCGACCGGTTTTTCGCGACGTCGGCGAACTGTTCGTCGTCGTCCCACACCGTCTCGAGCCGCCGGATCCGGCGGAGGGAGGTCAATTTGATGAGGAGGTTTGTGTCAAAATGGAGAAGCTCTCTAACCAGATCATAATGACCATTTGCAGCAGCTAAATCAATTGGAGATGCATACCACCATTGATCACCTGTGCTTTCCCATCTTAATGGGAAATAAGATGGAGGCATCGGAAGGCAAGAAACAAGAGATTTAGGCACAAGTTCTCGAAATCCGAAACCTAAAGATCAATCTTTAGGGTAAATTAAACTAACCCCAGTTTGTTAAACACCATAATTTGCAAAACCCATGAGTTATTATGCAAGACTGGATCAAAGATGGTGACTTTATCGGGAAACAAGAGAAACCCAATAGCAGAAGTTGAGTTTAAAGAAAACCCAATTGAGGATTCATGGATTCCTCCGAGAATTAAGGCAAAAGACAAGAGATTTAGGGTAAATCAAAGTAAACCCAGTTTGTTAAACACTATAATTTGCAAAAACTCACGAATGATTAGAGCAAAGATTGCAACTTCATTGGGAAACAAGAAAACCCTAAAAAGAGAAGTCGAGTTTACAAGAAACCCAATGGAGGATTAATGGATTCCTTTGAGAATCAAGGCAAAAAGGGATCTTTAGGCTTGAAGAAAGGTAATAAAGGATTATGAGTTTGGGGAAAGATGGATGAATGGAGAGGTATGATGAGAATCACAGAAATGGAGGGAAATAAGACATAAAAGATGAATGGATGGATGCATAATTTTCTTGTTTTGCTGATGAGATCAAGAATATGATGGTTTTGCATAGTTGGCAGAGAGATTCCTTCTTACTCCCGTGATTACCAACGTCACACTCCGCGTCTCATCCCATGAGAGAGGCTTTACAAACATTATTTAATTAATTATAATTTTAAAAAATTATGAGAAATTGATTAATCATTTTTAATGGATATTATCATTTTTATTATTTTAATTTTAGATAAATACATGAAATTGTTTTATTAAAATTTCATTAAGTATTATATGAAATAATTTCATAACTATATATGAAATAATTTCATTAAAAAAAGTATTATATGAAACAATTTCACAAGATTAAACAATTTCATGAATTTTTTTCCATAAGATTAAACAATAAAATCGATGTATGAAGGTGGTTTGCATGGTTTGTACAGATTGGGTGGTTTGCATTTGATCGCTCATCCATATAGAGACACACACACACACACACATACATACATACATACATACATACATACATACATATATATACATACATATATATATACATATATATATATATATATTCTCTTCACTGTCAAAAATAGTAATAACATCTCCAACAGATTCCTCAAAACGTAGAATGAAAAGTTGAAATGTAATCATTTTTGGGTAATCTTCGTTTCATTTTCCTACCATTTTCTATTTTGAAGATACTTTTAGGAAATAAATTGGAGCTCAATTTTAATTTAAAATCTTAATTTTCTCTATTTTAGAAGTCAAATGTTCAAATGTTAGTAAAGGTCAAAACTCAAAAGTATGGATGATTATTTGTCTTTAATTAACTATTAGAGGTATAATCAACTGAAAACTATAAAAAAATTGAGAATCGTAAGAACCAATAATCATATATTGTTGATTTGTTCAGGGGTCGTCCCTGGGGCCCAATTTGAGAATTTCAAAAAATATCTTTATTTTTTCATACATTATTGGTCCTTTATTATTTCATATGAGTGCATGAATCTTAAGTACTCTCTTATTTCTAAAACAAAAATAAAATGTCAAGATATAACCAACATGGTCTTTTAATTCTATAATTGATGATTCCAAAAAAGTTTGTTTAAACCCTAAAGGTTCAAAGCGATCAAGAAACTCATGTTAGATGGAAACTCATGCGATTTATATCGGTTTACACATATCATTACTGCAAATAGTTAACTTATGGAGGGCCATGTTTTACATCTCACCAATGGCGTATAAAATGTCAGGAATGAGTCTGAACCTGTTTTATATTGTAAAACAATATACAGAAAAGTGAAGTGTTAATTCACACTTTAAAACAACAAATACACATTAAAATAACCACGTTGAGAAACAATATCAGATTATACATGATTACTAGGTTTCATGATTCTCAACCTTTTTAATTCCTATTCTATTATTCTATACACTTCAAAATGTCTAGAGTAAACGACAAACGGTGGTACTTGATTGGTTTGAGTTTGACTTCAAATGTCAAAAGTGTCTGGAGGTCTCAGGTTCCAAAAAGGAATAAAACTCTCCTTATAGCCACAAGGTTCAAATGCGATAACTCAGTCCAGGCTACACGTAAAGCAGACAATCACCTTAAGATTAGTCCGCTCGCATAACAGGTTGGATATTCAGGTTAATAAAAAAATCTGAAGCATTTAATGATTTTTATAATATTTTAAACAAGGATAAAATATTTAGTAAATCACAATAAAAACTTGTCAAAAAAAGAAAAATTACTGGCTTTTTATATACCTTTATTATCAAGAATAGTCTATTAAATATTATATATATATATATATATATATATATATATATATATATATATACACTTGGGATCATGTGAGACCAATAGTTTTTCGTGAGACCCGTAAGACTAATTTTCAACCCTTGGATTAGATCTACAATCGTCAGATCTGAATATTCATAAACGCCACGAGACTTCTCAATAATTACAAAATTACCACCGTACAACTTTAGACCATTAGATCATTTGCTTATAAAGTTGATCAATGAACATAAATTGGTCTTACAAGTTTCACGAAAAACTATTGGTCTCACGTAAATCCAACCCTATATATATATATAAAGTCAAATATTATTATTTATTTAATTAATATTAAATATTTGTTTTTATATTCCAATTTGAATGATAATATTTGGACCAAGAAAGGTTCTTGCCCTTTTCTAGAAAACCAAAGAAATTCATACGTCACTATCGTTAGATTAAAGGTTGTTGTTTTATTGTTTTATTTATTTTTTTATTAATTCTTAATTTATTATCACGTTTTCATCAATTTGTAGAGTTTAATTGTCATTTTCACTATTTATTATGGTTGTAATTTTATTTTTTTAATATCATATTGAAATTAGACCGTCCACTATCATACAATTTCTAATACAATTCTTAAAAACATTCTGTTAGCTTCAAAATTATGGACAAATTACATGAAAAAATAACATACTTTAATTTAATTCCTATTTTGGATAACGTGCTTTTAAAACTTTCATTTTGGTACCTAAGATATAAAATTTTAAACATTTAAGTACCCAGGTAAACAGTTGAATCATAGACCGGTTATTATGCTGATATGATGAGTGATGTACTATCCGACTCAGTATTATTTGCTATTCAACCCAATTTCATATCATCATTCACCACATCAACATGATAACTGGTTAAGGCTTCGACCGGTTACCTGAGTACTTAAATGTTTAAAACTTTACATCTTAGATACTAAAATATGAATCAAGTTAAAATACGTTATTTTTTCATTCAATTTGCCCAAAGATTATCTATAAATTACCCTTAAATACAATGGTTTTTGTTCAATTTTAAGTGATACCTCAATATAAAAAAAATCATATTTTAATCAAATAACAGTTAAATTATAATTAATTATTTTTTATTATAATTTAATACTAAATAATTTATTAGCTTACTATATAAAGTAAAAAATAACAAATAAATAAAATACTGGTCTAATAAATAATTATTTATATAATAAAAATAATAAAGAATTTTTAATGTTTTATATAATTTTACTGTATATTTAATTCATTAATAAAAGACAAAAGAAAAATATTAAATGCATGACATTGATTAAATATTAATTAAACACAAAACATTATTAAATGCTACAAAATGTAATGAACGGTACCTTTCTGCACATGACCAACTTCATGCCCTCAACAACTATCTCCCTATTTTCTCACCACATATATACTCTCTTTTTTTCCATACAAATAGCAATTAATTTCTGATTTATTGTATCATTTTTAACACTAAATGAAAAAGCCCAAATTACAAGAATCAAGTTAAAGTACATTATTTTTCCATGCAATTTATCCGATGAAAAAAACAAGGCAATATAAAAACTTGACAGAACGTTTGGCACGACATCATACCTTTCTCCTAGGCTTGGATGGGACAAAAAATGCATTTTTTCAGTTCCCCCAAAAATAGGTGAATAAAATGAAGAAGATTTAGTCATTTAGACAAGATTGATAAATTACTAAACTAACCATGTCAATTCTTTCACTCGTGTACCTCACTCTTAACTCGTCCTATCCTATTTAGTCCAGTCTCATCCGCATATACCCAATGTCGTCTAAGTAAACAAAGGCCAATCTGTTATAATCTTTAATCGAATGTTCAAAATACGACCCGCGTTTCATAGGTGATAAAAACAACTTGCACTTCGCATACATCATTTCGCTAACTAAATTTATATAAACTTTATAACTTCTTACAGCTAAAAAGGGTTACCTTTTGGTGTTCAACTTGATTTCATATGCTTCATACAGTCTTCAATATGATCAGCAGCAGCATAGTTATTCTTCTGCTTGATTTCATCCAGAAGCAACGAACATGTATAATATCTCGGTCTAATATCTTTAGCAATCATCTCCTGAAAGAAATGATAAGCCCAATCACATTTGTTCGCCCTACATAAACCATGGATCAAGAGAGTGTATGTAGACAAATCAAGGCTCAAATGATGCTTATCGATCATTTCATCCAACATTAATCCCAACCATACATCCGTTCTTCCAGTTCTAAAGCACAGCTTCAGTAGCGGATTATACGAATGGATATCCGGTCTACAGTTCTGCGAATTTTCCATATTCCTAAGCATATTTATAGCTTCTTCATCCTGACCATGATGACAAAACATTGAAATCATCGAGTTATAAGTAGATGTATTCGGCACAACGCCAAAACTCGGCATTTCAACCTCAAACACATTACGAGCCTCTTGAACTCGGCCAGATTTTGCTAGAGCATGAATCAACGCATTGTAAAAGAGCGTATCAGGTTTACATCCGACAGATTTCATTTTCTCGGGTATTTCCAGTGCTTCCTCAAATTTCTCTGATTTTGTTAAATAACACATGATGATGGTGAAGGTTACAACATTAGCAGGGCAACCTTGAGCTTCCATTTCATCTAGTAGCTCGTAGACTTTATCAAAGTTGGAATGCCGACAATATGATTCGATAATGGTTGAATAACTGATAACAGATGGATTACAACCATTTCCTTTCATTTCTTGAATTGTCCAATGTGCTTCATCAACCCGGTTAACCTTACACCATCCATGAATAAATATGTTATAAGTATGAGCAGTTGGTGGGATGTATGATTTCAGCTCCAAGAAAATCTTGCGAGCCTGCTCAACTTTATTTTCTTTGCAGAGGGTGTCAAGTATGAGATTCATGGATTCGGTATTCTTCTCCAATCCAAATCTTTCTAGTTCATCAAATATGATAACAGCATCTTCCCATTTTCCCGCCCCACAGAGCCTTCTCATGACCTTGGCTATACTACCAATCGTAACTTGATGATGCTGACGCATTTGCTCGACCAGTGCCCTCATCTTTTCCATCTGCTTCATTTTCCCTAATATGTCCACCATCATCTCATATGACTCCGATAATGGTGTATACTCTGGGTGTGATTCTGCCCATTTAAATACGCCCAATGCAGACTTCCAATCATCTTTAAATCGATGAAGAAGCTGAAAAACAAGATTGTGAGAGATGGGTATAGTGCTACAAGCTTGATCATGCATGAGAGAGTGAAAAATTTCATCATCACTTCGTCCAGATTGAACTTTTGCAATAACAATGTCAATGTTTCCAGGTGAGCCAGAAGAGCACGTTTCTTGGTTGGCGAATGCATTGCTGGTGAATCGGAACAATTTGAACCCAGTAGGTAAGAACAAATTCAAATGATGACGAGCAGAATATGCAGAGGCATATATCACATAAGATCCAACAACAGAGAGACTTTTTTCACAGCGACTCTTGGCGTAGATGAACATGAAGCGGGTGAGAGAAGAGTATTGCTAAAGTGGCAATTCTGCAATTCCCATAAGATTGAAGTTATTTTAACAATTTCAATCTGAATTCCAAACATAATGCACATTTATCTCATTCTTTGTATCTATGATATGAGGGAAACCACGAAAATAATTCGAAAGCATCATATACTGAATCCAAGAATGCATTAAGCCATAATTGATATAGTTGGGCCAGGGAGCAACCATAGTAGTACCATAAGCAAATATCACTATCAAGTTGTTAGCAGCTTAACAAGCTTAATAAGACTCGCAGCTTATTCGGTCAGCCATACATGAATTTTTGGTAGTGGCTTAATGATATAGAAAATGGCTTATTCAGTGAACTTCTACGGGGGAGCTTTACGCAAAAAAAAAAACCAAGTTTTTTCCAAACATTCCCCTCCCCAGGGGCGGAGCCAGGAATTTGTACGGGGGAGCACCATATGATGTAGAATTAAAATAAACACAAGTATTAGGATCCACGAATTTGACAAGACCTTTTCACTGGATATGCTCTACGAACTTGATCACGAATATTAGGATTGTAATCCAAAATCCTAATCCACAATCAAGGGTTGGTCGGAAGTTGGGGTAAGTTGATTTCCATATGACTTTGTTTACAACTATCAACATTAATCTTATCAGGCATAGATGACTCCTAAGAATTAAACTAATTAATAAACACAACAAATCTGAATGGAACTAAGTCAAAAAGACTGTAAAATTCCCTTATTTAGAACACATGAATCAATCTAAATTATTCCACTACAAGTATTAGAAAAGTTCTATGCATAATCATAATGAAATATTACAATTGAATAGAAATGGTTCATAGCGTCATACGATAATTATTGAGGGATTAAAATAACTATTTAATAGAAAATGGACATATAGCATTTATCATAATGGAAGAACAAATTAGGAAGAAGCACTTAACTAGTTAATTGATATAATTTTAAAAATCATAAAGCCCTAACCTGAAGCAGAACCGGTGGGGAAGGTGTGAAAGGCATCAAGCTTCAGAGGGCATCATAAAAAACAGAAATAGAACCCAATTGAAGAGGGTATACACTTGTAGTTAAGGTCTTGAAGATGGTGTAAAGGGGGATAGATCAGAGAGGCAGAGCATTGCAGCCAAATGGTGGTTCGATCGGTGGAAAGGGGTTGGATTGGGAGCCTGGGCATAAAGCTCGGGTCTATAACAATAATAAAGGATCCAACATTCATTCAAGTGAACTACCCAATTACTTATACAACACCAGTGACCAGTCAAAGTTTACACTACTAATCATTTCATCAAACACCTTATATGCAAGATACAAACTCAAGCTTGTAATTTTCTTGGAACCCAAGGGGTCTGAAATGGAATCATGCCATTCAAACCCATATTCAAGCTGCTATTTCACATGATAAACAACAATGTTTCTACTGACGACTAAGATTTTGAAAAAAACGAGTGCTATTCCTTCTTCCTTGTAATAATCAACCATATTCAAATAGTAATCAGCTCAATGATCAAAGTCGGCTAGTGATGCACAAATTAGAGTTTTATTGGGCATCTTACTCTGAAGTCTGATGTATTCAACTCCGAGGTTTGAGCAATGTGCATCAAAGATTCATTCGCAAAGGCGTCGTTTGTCCGCGTAGAAGGTAGAGAACAGACGGGTCTTGGGTTTTTATAGGCTATATATGATTATTTCCGACCCGACCCAACCAAGTATTAAAATAATTTTCCCTCATTAATAATTTAATGTTTTTATCATCTATAATTTAGGGGTTGTTTATTTATCTCATAATAGTTTCATCAAGAAACAACCTCTGAATCTTTAAAAGGTGAATCTTGTTTGGCAAAAAAAAGTTCCTCTCTTAATAATTCTAAACTCTCTGGATAATTTTGTATCATGAACCTTCCTTAACCATTAAGCGTCATAATTTTATTGTAAACAATTACCAAACAATTATATTTACTTTTGCATTATATCATGAGAGACTCTTAATCATTCTAACCACTTAATTATTATGTACCAAACCATTCAACAACTGTTAAAGAGCCTCTTACTTCTTATTTTATTCAATAATCGAACTTATAACCACATTCTTGATGTTAGCATCACTTTACCTTTTTTTTTAAATTGAATCAACAGTCAAAAATATGAAATCAAACAATATTAGAAATGAAGTTTAACAAACAAGTGTTAACATAAGAACTTAATTATAAAAATAAGTTTTACAAGTTACACTTAAAATAAGAATCGAATTTAAAAAATGATTAAAAAATGAATTTGGTTGAAAATAATTGACTATTTTAGTCAATTTTCTTAATATTTATCAAAAAAATCTTTCATCTTTATTCGAGACCAAACGTAGATTCTAAAAGCCATATGCAATCAATCACACGTCAGAACTAGGGTTGCTCAAAAACTCGACCAATCCGATCAACCCAACCTAATACGAAATAACTCAACACGAAGCAACTCGATATCTAATCGAGTTGTAAAATTGTCAAACTGTATATATTGGGTTGATTCTTGGTTACTAGTATTTGAACCCAGTTCAAGCCAATGAACCCGATATCATTTTATTTATTGGATTTAATATGATTGTTGAATTTATATTAATATGTATATTAGACAATTACACTTTCATGTATGCTCTTCATATACACACATTTTCAATCTATTCACATTTTTATATAGCTCATTCACATATATGTTCAGTAACTGTGAACATATATACGTAAACTGAGAAAATTAGCATAATGTGATGTACCTAAGAATTATGAATAAGTTGTATCAAATGATTGATGATGAAAAAAATTATAAGTAGAGAAATAACATATTCTATGTTAAAATAATATTTTAATGTACCAAGGTATCAACTCGACTAACCCGTACGGATTGGGTTGCACTTTGGTTCGAGTTGAGTTAAGATTTTTCAAACCGCAAACATTAGGTTGAGTTATTCAAATTACTCAAACTCAATCAACTCAACCCATGAACACCCCCTAACCACAACCCCTTCAGTTGTCGACATCATAGTTATATATTATAGAGAATATATAACAAACATTCATTATCATCATACTAGCAGGTTGTTTATTAATTCGAGTCAAAAAATATTTTGGTTACTGACTGAGATAAGTTGGTAAGCCAAGAGAGAATCTTATTTAGTTGATTGGTCATTTACCGACTTGTTTTGGAAACCTTGATAATTTTTTAAAAACGTTTCGTGAATTTATTTATTCGGTGATTACGTATTGGTTTTGCTTTCAATAAATAAACACCAACAAAGGAAAGGAACAAACAATGGATGGATGGAACAAAGCTATAATTTGTTGTGAAATTGAATACAATGAAGAAGGGTTTTTTACTAAACAAAAGGAAGCAGACAATGTTTTCCTAGCGAAAAAGAGCCTTACTATAATACTACTACATCATTAGACTTGGAACATTACAACATGTACCAAACGTTATTCCAAGAACTAGTAGTATCCCAAAACCTTGTACAACAGATTCCGGTTATTCCAACTCAAAAACATAACCAAAAAATCGCAACCCAAGCCTTCGTCTCAAGGACCATCCATTTAGGCTTCCACGGATGCAATGTGGCAAATCAAGTCAACAACACGGGAGCTGCAAAACATGATACAAATGGTCAATAAATAAATAGCATGTCACAACAATAAGAGTAATGGTTCTCGTTGAGACCAGTCTTTTTTCACGAGACCTGCTGCGAAGGCACAGAAACACTAAACCTTCGGTGTTTTTGCGGCAAAGGCTCAGTGTCTTTTTTGTACCTTCACAGTGTTTACAAGTCGCTTTCTATATAATTAAGCCACTGCTAAACAGAGTTTACATACAGCTGACTGAGTCAGCTGAGTCTCGTTGAGCTGCTAGCAAACAGGCTCCAAGTCGTAAAAGGTTGGGATAAGAGAGAGAGAAACTATGCAAGTTGTAGTACCTGTATCCCCATTCGTTGTCATACCACGAGACAAGTTTCACAAAGTTGTCGTTCAAAGCAATCCCAGCCTTGGCATCGAAGATGCTTGATCTGCTGTCACCGATGAAATCTGTGGATACAACATCTTCTTCGATGTATCCCAAAATACCCTTCAGCTTGCCTTCTGATTCCTCTCTGAAAGAATGAATCCCAAAAGTTAATTTAAATTATCGCTAGAATTACAAGCATCCGATCTTTAATAATTAATCAAACACTTACTTAATAGCAGCCTTGATCTGCTCGTAAGTAGCCTTCTTCTCAAGTCTCACAGTCAAGTCAACAACTGAGACATCTACGGTTGGTACACGGAAGGACATTCCAGTCAATTTGCCGTTAAGAACTGGCAACACTTTGCCAACAGCCTACACAAACAGAATGTCGGTAAATCGACTGTTTCCAACTCCACAAATGACATAATTAGCCGAGTAATCTACCAAATCAGTAGTAGGGTTATACGCTCATCAAAATCCAATGTCTTTTTGGTTATTAGTTAGTTTTATGAAGTTTAAACGTGGATCCTTAAATGGTTGTAAAGTTGTATCGTTTATATCTCAATTCTATTGATAAGAAATCAATCTATTTACCTTGGCAGCTCCGGTGCTGCTGGGAATAATGTTGAAAGAAGCAGCTCTTCCACCTCTCCAGTCCTTCGATGATGGACCATCAACGGTCTTTTGAGTGGCTGAAATGTGTTGGAAAGAAATTAAATCTATTTCACATTTTTTACTCATCAATAATGAGTGATGTAGATACAACCAACTGAAAGGCTACATACCAGTAATGGAATGAACTGTGGTCATAAGACCCTCAACAATACCAAACCTGTCATTGATAACCTGAAAATCATACAAAGTGAAAGCATAAGAAACAAATAGAATCAAGCTGAATATGAAAGGGAAACACAACATATTTTTTCCAATACCCACATAAATTACTTGAGTGACAATCCAGATATATACCAAATGAACTGCTATAATACCTTGGCCAAAGGAGCAAGGCAGTTGGTTGTGCAGCTAGCATTTGAAACAATGTTAAGCTCGGGTTTGTATTCCTTCTCGTTGACACCAACGACAAACATGGGAGCATCCTTGCTAGGAGCAGAGATGATGACCTTCTTTGCACCTCCCTATCCATACAAAAAAATCAAAGTCAATCTAGTCTATCTTCGTGTAAAGGAACCAAATGGATATTTATAGATCAAGCAGCACCTACACTGAAATACATCTAGGTTCTTGCAACCATGGCCAAATAAAGGCAGCTCGCATAAAAGGTAAACACAACTGAACTTCCCAATAAGATCTTTTGTTCGCAAATTCCAAAATGAAATAAAGTAAAGTGAAGCAAAACTCGGGATGTTCTATAGTCAAAGTTGTGCCTAATGCTTAATCTAACTATCAGGTACTATATTAGAGAAAGACTCAATATGCCCAATATCTAAAGCATAAATCAATTCAGACCTTTAAGTGAGCAGCAGCCTTGTCCTTGTCTGTGAAGACTCCAGTGGATTCCACCACAAAGTCGGCTCCGACTGAACCCCATGGGATTTCTTCTGGGTTCCTAACATCACAAAAGGACAATTAATTTACCCAATTTAAGGAACAAAAAAGTTTCCAAACAGGTGATTTTAATCCTTAAACGGATCTTACCTGAAGCCGAAAACAGCGACTGGGGCCTCACCGAAGAGAAGGGTCTTCTCATCCTTGATCTTAAGTTCATTATGCTTCCATTGGCCATGAACACTGTCGTACTTGAACATGTATGTCTACAAGCAAAATATCTCAGTAAACTCTTTGCAGGTTGATGAAATCATGAAACCAAACATTTACATCCAAATTGTGGCACCATGGCAGATTTGAGTATTGTCATGACTTCGATTTACTTTAACCCGCGCAAATGAACTCATATTGAAATTACTTAGACGAAATAGCATTCACAATCAAATTTAATTATGATCCATGGTTATTATTTGCATCCAAACACAAACTGCTTACACATATTTAACTGAATGACTCTTCAGTATGATTTTCAGTTCTATTCAATAACAACAACTATGCAACCTTGTTTACCATTTAAATAGCACAATATCATCTTCTTGCAAAAACAGATATCACGACATATGTATATGATTCCAAAACATATGTTCAAAGAAATCACATTCACACGAGGCAAACATATTATTCGTGCACCGTAATAAATGGATCTTTACCAACAAAAAGCTCAAATGATACTATTGCAAGCATACTTTGACCTCATCAAACACTAAATGCATCCAAATCTCACGTTGCATCCATGTAAATGTAAACCGAACGGTAACGTGCTACCATTTTGATTATAACACCACCTCAAGACTCTCAAATGAACGATATAGTGATGTTTGCTGCATCTGAGTAATTTTTTTCACAAAACGAAACGGACAGACAGATATCAATTATTTTACCTAACATATATACCAATATATAGTGAGATCAAGTCCTGTATAAACCCAGACATTTATATCGTGTTGATCTAAACAAAGTGACGTACTACTATAGTATGTGATCCTCAGCATCATTTTTTTAATATAAGATCGCCTTCATGATCTACTATTCACCAGTGAACGACTAGAAGTAAGCAAGCATCATTTACAGACCGAATCCGATGTAAACATAAGCACTTGCATCGTAATCAAAACAAACACACACACAGATGAGAGTACCATGTAGTCAGTGGAGATAAAAGGATCGTTAACAGCAACAAGCTCAACATCATCTCTCTGAAGTGCAACTCTAGCAACTAAACGACCGATTCTTCCAAATCCTATAACATATCAACCAGATCCAATGAATCAATAACCAAAAAAACCAACACGAGCACAAAAACAGATCAAACAATGATAAAAATCAATCAAAAACTTACCGTTGATTCCGATCTTAATCTTCTTGTCAGATCCTGCAAATCCAAAAAAACGAATACACATTAATCAAATCAAAACATATATGATTATGTATGAAAAGCAAAAAGGAATGAATGATTGGAGAAATTACCCATGGCGATTGAGTAGAGTTTGAAAGGGTTTTAGAGAGATAAGAAATGGTGAATAATGAGTGTGAGAATAAAAGGGATTGGGGCTGGTGGTATATAAAGCTTGGGCGGACGAACCGATGGCGGTAGGTCACGTTTCAATTTACTGTCTTGGAGAAAAAGAAAAGGAAACGGAGGTTAAGGTTTTTGAAAAACAGCCGTTGGAAATAAATGGAATATTCTACGGATTATTCCTTCGTCAAATCACGTCTTTTTAATTTCAATTATCAATTCCTTTCCCCGAAAACCATGTCGATTTTTTTGTAATAATAGCTTTAAAAATTATTTGGAAAAGAATTAATCAAAATAAAAATAAATAAACCAAAAACAGGTGGATTTCTTGTGTTTCGATGGGCCCAAAGGCTAGAAATCAAAGTAAACTTGTCTTCATGTCCATATCTAAGCCGTTGTTTTTGTTTAATGGTTTTGTATAAAATAATTAGGTGGACAGAATAATTAATAGACTCTTATGATATAGTGTAAAATAAAACATAATTGTTTAGTAGACATGACAAACAAGGTAAGGATAGGGTTGATTTTGTAAACCCCAGCTCCGATCATGATTCTTGATTAAACCTCTATCAATCCTCAGTCAAACCCATGAAGAATTGGGTTTATAACCCCCATTAACCTTTGTGAATGGCTCTATTATAAGTTTTTGTTTAATATATTATTTTAAACTTTTATAGTAATGGATGGGATCCATCTAATATTTTAATAAACATGAACTAAAAACAAGATCTTAAAATATTTTTATTTATATACATATTTATATACATATTTATTTATATTTTATTTATTAGTTGGATCTCTGATCAAATGTAATTGAACTGAATCGGTTCGATTTTATTTTATTGTAGGTTGTCATCAGAAAACCGACTAATCCAACTTTAATGTTGAAATTCTGGATCTGATATAGAAATGGCAATGGGTCGAGTTTGTGCTGGTTATTGGTATCCCCATCCCCGAAACAATAACTAAATTGTTCCCCGTAACCTCCTGATCCCCATCGGGTCCTTGGATTTCTCCGATCTCCATCGGGGAACCCGTTAAGGGTAAAACTCCATATTTCTTGTTGGTTTCCTCGTTCACCGTTGATTATACCCGAACCAGAACCGATCTGAAAAAAATTGCAATATGTTAATTTTCACAACTGAAAGTAAATTACAAATTTTTTGAAGATGTAAGTCTAAATAACTCAAATATAATCAAACCAATTACAAACAATGTTTTATATTACAATATAAAAATAAACATAAATTCAAATATCATACAACTAACATCACGCTCACGATTAGAAAAATAAATTAAACTTTCTCGTGATCCTTACTTGGGATATTGATACGAAGTGAATAAAAGTATTTTAAAATTTAATGTTGGTGTCTTCTTTTAATGATATTATATATAGGTATGTGTATAAATTAAAATTAATATATATACACATACCGCACCAAGCCGGGCCGGTCATCACCGTCCCCGCCCTCGTCCTCATCCCAATCTCCGAATATATCCCCGATTCCCGTCCCATCTCCAACTAGAAAGTTTCGATTTTTGCCATCGGTTTTGGTTTTTTTGCTCTAATCAGATCCAATCTAATTACAAATAAATATCTAACTATAATCAACCAGTTTTAATTATATCGGTGGATTCTAATTAGATCATATCTACAGAATTATTTTTATTTAAAAAGGTGAAGTTATTTTTTAATGAAAAATAAGGGAAGGAACATGCACTTTGACTTTATTTTCTCAATAATGCATTTGAAAAAGGAAAGTGATTATTTTTCTTGAATTTAATTTTTAATCAAGAAAATTAAAAACTCCGACAAATAAATCTAGTGGTGCATGTTCTTTCACCTTCTAGTTACAAATTAATTACAGAAGTGGTTCTTCAACTTTTAAGTTTCATTAAAAAAGCTCCAAAAATAAAAAATAAAACTCGTTTCATATCACACCCAACCCTTATTCGTTGTTCTTACTGTTAGTTCGACTACTGAATTAAAATACAAATCAATATAAGTTAAACAAAAATATTGATTCTAATTCAACAATAGCATAAGTAGGGGTGTTCATCTAGTAAGGGAAACCGAACAAATCCAATCATCCATTGGATGTTAGATTTTGCTAACCGGTCCGATCTGATTAACATGAGATAACTGATCCAATTCAATCCAATGGATGATTGGATCGATTCGGTTTCATCCATTGGATACGATGGATGATTGGAGTTTGCCAATCGATCCGATCCAATTAACATTGGATAACCGATCCAATTGATGATTGGATTGATTCGGTTTCATCCATTGGATACTTTTATTAGATATCTAATGGATGATCCGTTGGGATTGGATCCATCCTGTGTGTTAATTCAATCTAATTCTTCAACAATGATACAAAATGATTAAATCACTTTTAGTATGTGTTAACACCAACACAAGAGAAGTTAAAAGTTCAAAACCTCACATAAAATCAAATTATGATTTAAGCAATTTGAAAATAAGTTAATTGAACGATGGTTGGATTGACAACTGGATGGTTATCGGATGATTAATTGGATGTTGATCGGTTCGGTTCGATTTTGGTCGGGTTTGGACTGTCATCTCGCACCGACCAATCCAAATTGGATGTTTAAATTTTCAATCCGATTCGATGCGATTATACTCGAATATTTAATTATGGTCGATCGATTCTAATTAAATCAGTCGGTTTCAATTGGATCGGTTGATTTTCTGTACACTTCGATATATAATGATGAATTTTGTATTTGTAGCTACAATAATTGTATTTTTTATTTATAAAAAAAAAAAGTCAAAAATCCAACACCCACAAAATCAAAAACGAGAGTGGAGTTTGTGGTTGGACATGTTCCTTTAAACCGGCGTGACGCTTGACATCACCCATAACCTAATAATTCCAATTAAAATCTAATTTTTAATTATTTTTTTATCATATTAAATAATTATAATATTTTCCATTTTATTTTTCTCCTAAATTAAAATGAATCGTATATTTATATTTAAAAAATTCCCATTTTGATTTCCTAAACTCAATATTCGTATGTCATAAATAATAAATCAATATACATACACACATATATACAAAATCAATAGAGACAATGTAATATTTAGAGTAAATTACGGATTTGGTCCATGTGGTTTGTGGTTTTTTACAAAAATGCCCCTAAACCTCATTTTGTAACAGATTGATCCATCCTCTCTAAACGGTCGTTATCTTTTTCCGTTAACTATATTTAGATCAGGACCAAAATAGTCATTTCCCCTTTTTCTAAATACTTTCCATTTTCTTTTTTATATATTAACTCTCAGTCTCTCTCTCCCCGATAGAAACCCACCCCTCGTCCCCACCCCTTAAACCCCTCGGTGTGGCCTCCGATGACATCTCCTTTGATAACATCTTCGGCGTCACCTCCGCCCCCACTGCAAAAAATGACTCCACCCACACTATGGAGTATGGAGTTTGTGTTTGCTAGAGGGACCAACACCTCTAGCCACATGCCACTATCATCGACATGCAACCTTCCTCCTGAATTCTCCATCGACCTCCATCACCGTCATTGGCTCTGTAAAGCATCCACGGTTATGAAAACCCACCAACTTGAACCCAAGGGTTCAAACCTCACATTCGGTGAGGATGGTGTGTGAGTTTATTTGTTTGATTTACCGTATATAAATACTAAAAGCATAACACCCCATCACTATCATTTGCTCAATGAACTTTGCAACTCTCGACAACTTCGTTTCAAACACACACACACGTGGAGGTAAGTGATGGTGGGTTGAGTTGGCCGGTGAAGGTGATCTCCACTCTTGTATGCACATTAGAATGAGATACCTTAGATTAATCTTCATATCAAACACGATTCATGAGTGAGTTTGATATTAAAGATGATCAATAGTCCAAATTCTTTCTTATGTTTATCATCTTAACTCTCTTTCTTACATGATTATTCGTCTATAGTTAATTACCTATTTGGTCCTTACGATTTAGAGTTTCTTACAAAATTAAGAAAAAGACAAAAAAAAAAGGACAAAATGTAAAAACAAACAAAAAAATTAATGTTAAAACACTGAAAATAGTAAAATGACGAAAATGTGCTTAAGGTTACTAGAGGAACTGGATGACCGTTCGAAGGAGGGACAAATTCATTACAAACTAACATATAACAAGTCCTAATCTGTAATAAACGAAGTTTATAAATCATTTTCGTAAAAACCACGAAACAACATGAACCAAATCCGTAATTTACTCTAATATTTAATAAGAGCTTTCTAGATGCTCCTAGAACATTGACTAATTTGAAGGAAGAAAACAAAATTTTGAAAACTAATTAAAATTGATTAGTTTGAAAGAAGAAAATAGAAATTCGAATACGAATTGAACATGATCAATTTTGACACATGACCTGAGAATATTATTCATATAGACTTATAGAGAGAGAAAGAGACAAGTCATTAAATACAAATCATCTATATTTGTATAAATCGTTAAAACCATAAACATCCGTCGATTTCGTTGTTTAATTTTATGAAATTTTTTCATGAAATTGTTTAATCTTATGAAATTGTTTCATATAATTTTTTTTTGATGAAGTTGTTTCATATATGGAAATGAAATTGTTTTATATAATACTTATGCAATTTTAATGAAACTGTTTCTTGTAATTATCTAAAATTAACATAATGGAGATGATAATATCCATAATTAACACCCTACACAATAAAAATGATTAATCAACCTCTCATAATTACAAAAAAATGAACAAAATAAAAAGTTATGATTGATTGAACGAGTTTTGTACAATTTATACAAATAATGTGGCTTGCAAAGTAAACATCTCTCTCTTTCTCTCTCTCTCTCTCTCTCTCTCTCTCTATATATATATATATACACACACACACACACCTACCTGAATATCCAACCTGCTATGTGAGCCGATTAATCCCAAGGTGATCACCCGCTTCGCAGGTACCCCGGAGTCACCGGATTTGAACCCCCGTGGCCACAAAAAAAATTATATTTCTCATTGGATTTGAACTTGAAACCTGTAGACACTTTGAATTTGTGAGCCCAAACTCAAAGCAATCGACACCATGGACGGACGTAGGCTTGTGGTATAAATGGCACGTGCCACCGTATTATTTCTCCGCCGAAAGGTAAAAAAAACTAGGTTTCGTGAACGGTGCAACCGTATTAATTTGTTGTGTGCCACCGTATGTATTTTGAAACTATAATGAGAACAAATTTTATTTGGTAGAGTTGGTTTGCAAGACTTTTATTCCACCCCACACCCAAGTTCGAATCCTGTTAGTGTCATTTTCTTAGTCAAATGATGTCACAGTTTGAAAAAAAAAATTCGTATATTTGTCTCTTATAATCAAACGGTGCCACCGTTTGAAAATTTTCCCAATATTTTTTTTTCTTATGATCAAATGATGCCACCATTTGAAAAAATTTATGGGTCTGTCCCTGATCGACGCCACCCTTGTAATAATGTGTAAAAGTATAAAACACAGTCAACCGCCACGTTGAACTTCTTCTTTTTTCCAAACGAAAATAATAATCTTTTCCGAGAGAACTTTAGAAATCAGAGTAAAAGAAAATTCTTTGAGCATGTCATGGCAAGTCGTCGATTGGTTCGGGCCCGATTACGCCCAGACTAGCCAGACGTTGGGATCCTTGTTATTTTGGAGGAAAATGGTTGTACGAGATCTTCAAAATCTGCATTTTCTCCATTTTAGAGTATCTATTGAAGATGCTTTAAATGTCTACGTTTCTAATCATGTTGTTCTAAGTAAATGTTGAGTTTCATTAATAGATAAACGAAATTCCCAAAACCTACCCTCATTTAATGCACATATATTCTAAAAGTTGTGAAAAAGGATAAAAAGCTTAAGGGTATAGTTACGGGTGTTCATGGATTGAGTTGATCGTGTTTTGAAAAATGTTTGTGATTTGAAAAATCTAAACTCAATCCAACCCAAACCAAACCAAAGTGAAACCCAATTCCACCCAAACTGTACGGGTTGGTCGGGTTGATACTTTAGTACATTAAAATATTCTTCTAACATTGAATATGTTATTTTTCTACTCATGATTTTTTTTCATCGTCAACCATTTGATACAACTTATCCATATTTCTTACGTATGTCACATTCAATTAATTTTCTCGATTTATATATATATATATGTTCACAGTTATTGAACATACATACGAATGAGTTTTTTTACCTCTTAATGATACGGGCACAAGTTAAAAGGTGTCATAATAGTAACAACTATATCAGTATTAAATTGGATATTGTAAATCTAAGATACTGTTTTTTACCTCTTAATGATGCTATAAACATCTGAATCGATAGGAGGTATTCTTGTTTGGTATGTCATTTTGAAGCTCTGAATAAAGCTTTTTTTCCATAATTGCCCTCTTATCTTATCTACTTTGGAACACTTCATCAATATATTGTCTATTGTCCTGGTCATCAGGAAATACTGCTGGTTCGTCCGCTACAGCTCCTCCATCTGTAAAACTAACGTACTTCCCACCTTGTCGAAAACAAAAAAATCTCCACCCACCAGAGCGTTCTTTCTCGGTACGCAAAATTAACAACTTTAGTGTTGTTCATTTTATCCATTCCAACAAATATATCAAATCCGTATTCGAGTTGCACAAAATCGATCCTTCTTTTGCTTCCCACTCTAATCTCAATCTATTAATTTATTAAAACAGTCATATTTCATTCATCGTTAAACTATACAAAGGGTTAAAATTGTAATTTTGAGACTGTCTATTCAGAACAATTCATTTTACACTAAATCATAGTCTCTTGATCATTCTACACTAAAATCAATATCTACCAAATAGCCGTTAGTTGGCTAGTTCTATCATACGCCTATTCGTCATTTGTCAACACGGTCTGGACCAGGTTGGGTCGGGCTTGATTACCGTATGGAGTGTTCTCGTACCTAATCAAGCCAGCCCAATCTAGTCCAATGCTCTAGACTTTGGGATCCTAACTACCTTCACTGTACACTCAAATCTAAAACCAAATCAACCATCCATGGATCATAAAGATCTCCTCAAGAATTCATTCACCAACTTCGAAAATGCCGAACCGCCATCGTGTTGCAACCGTGACGGAGAATCATACTCCGCTACTTTCCCTGCGTTTCGCACAAAATCGATGAATTCCAGCGTTGTGTTCATTTGCATGTTCATTTGAAAATCGTAAGAACCAAATACATATAATGAATATAACGATACTCATATTATATTCATTATGAATATAAGGATATTCATTATGAATAATTGGTTCATCTGCCTCAAAATATTTACGGCATCAAAATGAGTCAATTTTGTTACCTTGATCAAGAACGAGAACTAGATCGCTGTCAACGATGGTGGGTATCCGATGCGCGATGGTTATGACAGTACATCTGCTCGTTTCTTCTCTTATCGTCCTTTGCATCACATTATCGGTTTCTGTATCGATGGAAGCGGTGGCCTCATCTAGTACCAATATGGTGCGTTTTTGTAGCAACGCCCTCGCTAAGCATACGAGTTGCCGTTGTCCAACGCTCCAGTTTTCGCCATCTTCAGCAACTGCATACATTTCTTCACAACTTCAGTACCAGTATATCGAAACAATCGAACAAATCCCTAAAAACTGCGTTAACGATGGCAAAACGGGACCCGATCTGAATAACTATCTTCGTTCGGGATTTGGGTGGCATTTAAGGCCATGTTGGCGACCTCGGAACTAACTTATAAGCTGGCTTATTTTTGAGCTTATTGAAAAAAAACCGTTTGATAAGTCAAAAACTAGCTTGTAAGCTAGCGTTTGAAAAACAAAACTACTTCAAGTAGCGTTTCAATAAGCTCCGAGTTTTTTTCTCGCTCTTTTTCCAATTATACCCTAATACCTTACATAAATGACTAAAAACTCCCATCATTTTAGGTAAATTTATATTGATATCTAGTTTATGAGCTAACTTTTACCAAACGCAACTACTTTATCAGCTAGTTTATCAACCACAACTGGCTTATTAGCTAACAACTTTTTTAGCCGACGACCAACCATTTACGCTCTTACCTGGTGTATTGAGAAGCCGTTTGTCCTGCCTTACGTTATCCGCAAGCTGACACTTGTTTAGTACCTGTAGAATTACGTTAAAACAAACAAAGATCAATCCCGATACTCGATACCACACGACACGTAAATTTTCAAAAGCGATTAAGCTCTCTACCTCCCATATTTCATGATCCGAATGCTGTTCCAAAGGATCAAGATTTGTTCTCATGGTTCCTTGAAACAAAGTTGGATCTTGTGGGATTATCCCCAACTTAGACCTCAGATCATGCAACCCAATCTTCGAAATATCGAGCCCATCGATCAAGATTTGACCTTTCGTGGGTTCAACCACCCTGAATAGAGCCTGGATCAGTGTCGATTTCCCGCACCCGGTTCTTCCCACCACCCCAATCTTTTTTCTAGCCGGAAAAGTACAAGTGATTCCTCTCAAAACCGTTGGAAGAGCCGGGTGGTATTGAACGTGTAGATCTTTGAGCTCGATTTCTCCTCTTGACGGCCAGTTAGTTTCGGGGATACAATTTTCGATGATTGCAGGGGCTTCGCTTGGAATATTTGCAAACTGAAGAATTCTTTCAACCGAAATCATCTTGTTTTCGACGTTGCAGAGGTTCCATATCACCCAAGCTTGCAGTACGTTCAGGCTCAAACCATACGTAACCGCTAACCCGGCTAAACCTGTGATTACATCAATGATCATAAGGTCTCGACCGTCACTACGACTAAACGGGTCTTTTAAAACGCCCAACCATAGTTAACGGGAATTTACGTTTATAGGACCGAGAAGGCAAAAATGGTGTGTCATATCTAAAGGCGTTACAATAAGTTAGACGCATTTACACCACCTAACAAGTAAGTTGGACAACACACAAAAAGTAAATCTTCCTATTAATTCAATTTTGAGTAAATTACTTTTTCGTCCCTGTGGTTTGTTAAAGTTTGCGGTTTTTGTCCTTGTGGTTTGCAATTTATTGCAATTTTCATCCCTCTGGCCAAATCGTCCCTCTAAGAATAAGGGACGAAAACAACAATCAATTGTAAACCACAGGGACAAAAACAACAATATAAATTGTAAATTATAAAGACAAAAATAACAATAAAGTATAAATCATAAGGATGAAAATCGTAATTTTAAAAGTACAAGGCTGAAAATGACAATTTTCGACGAACTACAAGAACATAAAACATAATTTACTCAATTTTTTTAGAGGACACTTATGAAAAGTGTATGTCCACTTATTCGGTCAACTATAGATTGCTATTTGGTAGTGGCTTAATGATAAAGAAAGTAGCTTATTCAGTAAGCTTCTAAGAGAAGCTTTATGCAGAAAACCAAGTTTTTTCCAAACTTGTCCATCCTAATTAAAAAACACACTCCTTCAATCTATAGATAAATCCTCCCGAAAAAAACCTTTCTGATCTATATTAGACAATTTAATCCACACAAACATTATCCATACAGGATTTAATGGAAAACCAACCAAACAGCCTCTTATTTAGCTTGCCCAACTTCATTGTTAAAACTCGTTAGATTGCCTAATTTCGTCCTAACAACTTACTGTAACAACTTTATATAAGACGTACAGTTCTCGATACTATAAACCGAAAAGTTCCGTTAAGTACTTTATTTGGAGCGAGTAAAGAAGCTTACTAGGGTTTATAGACGACCGTGGGAGGTGCACCAAGGCGACTAGAAGGAGAAAAAAGACAAGGTTGAAGAGGAAGTTGATCCGAACACATAACCACTCCATCGTAGCGGTATTGTGAAAAGTAACACGAGAGTAATCATCGATAACGTTTAAACATTTCGTCAAGAAACGGACTTCTTGATTGAAGCAACGGATCATCGAGGCCCCAGAAATCGATTCTGAAAAATGGTGCTGAATGGGAGACTTTTGAATCCCGATCATCCTCGCTAGTTCCCTTGCCGTAGTAATGTAGTACGCCTTTTAAAAAAACGACCCTTTTTAGCAAAAAAATTGTCTAGAAAGATTCAAGATTCATGTTTTGATCTTACCTGATACCATAACGATATCGCAAAGATGATAACACAGAGCAAAAAGATCGGCCACGCAACGTGCGACATAAGTAAAATGATGATTACAAGCTGAATCATTGCGAAAACTAATCCCGCCAATCGGTATGGGATATCAACGTCCACCGTGCTTTGATCCGTTGAAGACTGTAAGATATGAATCATATAAACCAAACAAGCCTAGTATATCGGAATAACAGTTAATGGATGAAAAAAGTAAGGATGGATTACTAACACGGTTGAGGATCCGGCTCGAAGGAGTGGAGTCGAAAAACGAAACTGGTGCACGGAAAACTGAAGTTATCATTTGTAGGAAGAGGTTTTGACCGGTCTCGATAGCAATCGTCGACAGCAAAATCGCCCGTCCTAAAATGAAAACCGAGCTTCCACCGGATAAAAGCACGAAGATTCCGATGAGGGTCTTGCTGCTAAACCGACCCTCATCTTCGGTAGCCCACGCCATCCAATAGTTGCTGCCGAGTTGCAGTAATAAAAAGAGCACGTGACAGATGACGATAACCGGAACTAGAGCTCCTTTATAAGCCGAAAAGATGAAAGTTGAGTAAACACTGAGCTTCACCCGACCAGACTGTGATTCTTCTTGCGGTTTTGTTTCTAATGACCTGCCGTGGGTCTGAGATGGCTCGTGTTTTCGTTCCGAGTGTGAACCCTGGATAGCCTGTGGGTACATGGTTAAGGTTTGGGGCTCGTTGGGCGGGTTCACCTGGTTCAAAGACTTGGAATGTGCAGCTATTTGTCGTGCAAATTCGCTAGCGGGATTTGCAATAAGCTCGTCATACTTTCCCGATTGAACGATACCGCCATCTTTAATTACCAGAATCAAGTCCGATGCGCTTAAAAACTCCAATTGATGCGTTACGTAAACAACAGTCTTTTGATCTAAAAGATTTATCAAACATTTCTGTAACGGAAAAAAGCTTCGAATTAAGAAACACCCATAAACCAACGATAAAAAACCGAATGAAAATTTTTCAAGAAAGTTTGTACCTTGAACATATGAGCCCCGGTGTGAGCATCGACCGCGCTAAACGGATCATCGAGGATATAAACATCCGAAGCATTATACAAAGCTCTCGCTAATTGAATCCGTTGTTTTTGTCCACCGCTTAAATTCAAGCCTCGTTCGCCCACGATACTTAGATCGCCATCGACCCATGTCTCGAAATCACGATCCAGACCACATCCATCAACAACTTCATCGTAAAACGGCTTGTTCATTTGCCTACCGAATAATATGTTATCCCTTATTGTTCCTGTTTGAATCCACGCACTTTGTGGCACAAACGCTTTTGATCCAAACACTTTGATACGCCGACCAGAAATCCTCGGGATTTCGCCTAGTATGCTACAGAGTAAGCTCGATTTCCCAGCTCCAACCGAACCACATACCGCTACCTTGAAACCTTTCGGGATTTTCATCTTCGAAGAAATCTTTATCGTGGGCCGTCGTTGATCAGAGTCGTTCGTATCCCACGCATACTCTCCTGGTTCGATTTCTATAGCCACACTTGACGATGGCTCTAAAGATTGAGGTTCTACTGACTGTTTACCATCTTGATCTATTATAAATTCTTTGATTCGATCAAGTGAAACCTTTGTTTGAGCCACCATGGAAACAAGCTCCGGGAGATTATAAATGGGATCCTGCAAGATTCTGAAAGTCGCCAACGTCGAGAGCACGACACCTGGCGTTAATGGCGTCCGCAAGAAAATGCAAACGCCAAAAGTGGAAACCGAAACCACTGTTGGTGATGTCCAAAACAGGAAAGCAATCGCCGAGCACGTATAAAGATACTTCTTGAGCCAATTCCGCTCTTTTTCTCTTAAATCAATTAGCTTTTTCTTGAAGTTGGATTCCCACGAATGCAGTTTCAATACCCGCATGCTCTTCAAGATCTCGGCAGTTGCTTTAATCCTCGAGTCTCTCGACTCCATGACCTTCGTTTGATAATCTTTTTGTCGATTCGCCAATGGGGTGTTGCTGACCATAACTAGAACCGTGGAGATAAATGCGGCCATGGAAGGAGCAAAACCAAGATTCATATATAAGATGACCAATGCTAAAAGAACCTGAACCGGAAGCAACCAGATTCCGTGAATATGCCAGAAAAACTCTCCAATCTTTTCGACGTCCACATTGATCAAATTTACTACCTTCCCGTTGCTCATTGTACCATATTTGATCGATAAAGATTTCTTGTATATGAGTACCATAAGAGCAGCCCGTATTCGAATGCCAATACGTTGAGCACCAAAATACCATTGTCTTTGAGACAAAGATTCCACCGTCTTCGATAAGAAGAAAATGGACGAAAGAATCAAACCCGTTTTGTAGTTTGAATCACGATCATCTTCCGATAAGTAATTCACAAATCTTGTGATCAAGATCGGCCCCATGTATGCAGCAAGTGTGTTAGCTCCTAAAATTGCCCAAAAAGAAATAGTTAAAGCACACAAACTCGTGTTTCATTGGTTTATACAGTCTTCCTTTCCCTCTACGGTCTTCGGTACGGGTCCCATCTTTAACCAAGTGGGACCCGCTACCATATCTTGAAGATATTCATCGATGAATAGGAATTAGACCAAAGTTTAAACCTTTTCAGATAGTATGTAACAAATCTTGTGATCAAAACTAACCTTTAATGTTGTCATTATCGTTTTTTAGCAAGTACAATAGTTAGTTTACAAGAGAACGCCTACGATGGTTAGAAAACTCTTCAAAAATATTAAAAAGAAATGGATTCCTAATACGGGAACGCTTTCTTTTTCGCTCGCATTTTTTTGTAAGTCGGATACTCTCTATCTGAAGAGCTATTTGGTTGGTTTTTCATTAAGTCTTGTACAGATAAAGCTGTTTGTATAGATCGGGAAGGTATTTGTTTAAGAGGGTTTTTTTCATTGATGAAAGGAGCGTGTTTTTTTAATTGGGAAAGGTAGGTTCTTAAAAACTTGGCTTTCTGCATAAAGCTCCCCCTAGAAGCTTATTGAATAAGTCACTTTCTATATCATTAAGCTACTACCAAACAGTCGTGTATAGCGGACCGAATAAGCTGTGAGCCCATTAAGCTGATAACAAACACCTATTATATAATCCTACCCCTCTCCATCTCATGCATGTGCTTGCAATATCTTCAACTTTAGTATTATTGTCCTATATGTTTGTTTGTTTATCCAAGGGTCTATTGGGTCATTTGTGGCTGTAAAGAACAGAGTTGGTTTTTGACTTTTGTCTGATAAAGGTAACAACTTTATGCAATAATCAACATTAAACTTCAAGTACAAAGTGAATTCAATGAAAAAAATTTGGAAAAATTGACCAAAATAGGCATTCTGGACTCCCCAATTCATTTTATAGTCGTTTTTCTACTCGATTGACCAACACTGACAAGATTTTTTAGTAGCATTTTAGCAAAAGGGCTACTTGCGAGATGTTTTTTATGAATTTAATCTTCATAAATTAACAGTTTAGCAAGTTGTTTAAAGTGCTACTTGCGAAATGCTGACATGCCAAGTAGAACTTTTAGCAAAGTTGGGTGAGTAGCCTTTTTAGCAACTTGTGAATATTATATTCATAAAAGGTGTATTTCGCAAGTTGCTAAAATCCTGCTGCCAATATCTTGGCTATTTCGGTCACTTATGTAGAAAAACAACTATAAATTATAAAGTGAATTAATGAGGTCAAAAATGGCTACTTTGGACAAGTTCCTAACTAAAAAGTAACAAAAGGGCAAGAATTTACCTGCGAAAACCGCGTTGATCGCTAAAGATCCCCGTATAGCATCAATAATGGCCTTGGGCAATACCGAAACTCGAGTCTTTTGTTTCTGAAGAGACTCTTCCAACCAAAATGCAGCTTCTTCGGCTGTTTCGGATTCTGGGATCGAAGGTACATGATTGAACTCGAGTTTTTGAGTTCGACCCAATACGAAAAGAGGGTTGAGCCAATTGAATGTAACCCTCTTCCATATTCCTGCCTTTGTGAAGGCACTAGTGTCTCCAAGATTTTCTTGACCATTTTCTTGGAGTAATGGCTCCTCAAGTTCTTTGTGTTTCTTGGTGACACAAAATTGGACACCATTGGAACACAAAAGAATCAAGAACGGTAAAGTGAATATATCAATGATATTCGCGATTGAGCCCAATATATGCATGTTTTTCGATTCGAAATAGTCGAAGATAATGAAAGTCACTAAAACTAAATCAAGAATCCCAGAAAACACCCAGAAAAGAACAAGAACCATACACCATCTTCTTGTTTGCCCAACCCTTCTATTCACTAATGAATAAACGGTTACAACAGTTGCTAAACACCATGTGAATGCCAAGATCACAGACTCACAAGTGACAACCTCATGCTTCAAGAACTTACATACACAAAACCCCATATGAGAAATCATGATTATAAAGCTTGACACAAGGGTAATAATGGAAAAAAGTGGAAGATTTCTGAGAAATCTCGTTCTTTCACCACCTCCACCACCCCTTCTTTGCTTTAAAATGTCTAAAAAACCCCATACGATAAACCACGAAAAGAAACATACATTGCTTGTATTCAAAATGGCCGCCATTGAAACAGACTCCATAGCTTCGATAAACCCTTTCTTGAACCCGAAATCGAACCCAGATTCGATTAAAGAAGAAAAACCCATATCAAAATAGCGATTATATTAATGAAAAATCAAAAGAAGGGGGGATGAAAATAGGGTTAGAAAACAAATTGAAATGATTTATTTAATGGAGAAATATATCCAGGATTGGATGAGTCTAAGAAATGTGGATCTGTAAAGGGTTAGCGACTCACGTGGCGATTCTTGAAGCGATGTGGGTTGGTGGGATGAATATGAGCTGAAGGTGGTTTCGGTTGTCTTCATCCCTCCACCTATATATACAATTATGCAGAAATTTGGGTTCAAATGTTAAAAAACATCCCTAAAGATTCCATCCCATGATTATTATATTCGTATTCCCGTGGGTGATTGGAGAGAATATAATAACCGTCGATTTTGCTGATATAACTCTTAAATTATGTGTTAATTCGTCTATTAATCATTCATTTGTATGATATGTATATATAAGGGCCCATTTAAGGGAGAATCGAGTAGTTTGTGGTAATCGTGAGATTTTAGGTTTTTTATCTCCTCTCTTCTCTCTCTGTCCTTCGGCCACCGTCCTCTGGTGATACCTAAGAATATTGACTATGTTAAACAAAAGATACATTGTGATACCCAATCATATATAAGATGCATTTGTGATACCATTGTGTTACATCTCCGATCGACCACACAAACGACCTCAATGTGATACCCCAAACACATATATGATGCATTGTGATACCATTGTGGTATCATCGGAGGACGATGGCCGGAGAGATAAGAGATAATAGAGTTTTAAAATACCAAAAATATTCTTGCATTAAAATTTTAATTTAAAATTATCAAAATTATAAGTTTTTTAATTTATCTATTGAAATGTGGTTGAGATTGGATCTCACAATTACCACAAACTAATTAGTTCTCATTTGATTAGTTCCATATATATATATATATATATATATATATATATATATATATATATATAAGTAGTTTTTCCAATATGTACATGTGCATAGAAGCCTCAAAACATCTTCGATTACTTATATGCACATATACATAGCGTATAGATCAACAGTTATCAAGATATTTCTTAGTTTTCATTTTTTTTTGGGGTTTTCGCATGAACCTCGCTCTTTATAGGTAACAGTATAAAAGTTGTTTTACGATGGGTTTTTACAATTATATACACGCTTATTTATATTAAAATTTGGTTAAACCATACACTATAAATAAAATGGATTAGGTGCACCTCTATATATTGCTAAATGCACTCATATCTATTGATTTTATTCTCACGTGCATCAAGACTTACTTTTTATGTTTTCAATATATGATTTAATTTGATTATGACGTAAATAAATGTGCATATTATAACTGGTAAACGTAAATCTTTATATTGAATCATACGGTGTCATGTCTGGTAAACCACAAGAACCAAACTATAATATTTAGTCGAGTATAGTAGCCCTACCTTTTGAAATTTCCCTTTTTTCTGTTTCTAATTTGACTGATACCCTTAACTCAGTTATGCTCGTGTCGTTATTCTCTCTCTCGAGTGTGGACATTTTCTTACATGTTTGAAACATCGTTTGATTTGTCAACATCTCACAAAACACAACCTTCTTTGAAGCTTCTTATTACTTTTAAAATACTGAACACTGTAACTTTGAACTTCATTTTAAACTGATGGTGTTTTGTTTGTTTCGATGTATCCAAAAATTTTACAGGTTTACAATATTGGTGCATGTATCATCTAGAAGAAAAAGAACCGATACCAACAAAAAAATAATGACCACACGCATAGATGTTCTTGCACCAGTTATAATTTGGTTAGTACATGGTATATAAAACAAAAACACACGATGCAGTACAATGTTCATAACTGCATTTATGTTGAATATCTGAACAAATAAGAAGGATTATTAATACAAATATAACCAACAATAAGTGATCATCATTCCACTCCATACGTCAAGAACAAACTATAATGTAGCAGTATATTTTGACCCAAGTTTATGGATCATGACGATGAAAGATAAAGATGAACGAGATTCTTTGCATGGGTACAAAAATGTTGGTTTTGAGAATGATTACAAGCTTGATTTTACGTGTGTGGAATTCTTATGTCGATGCAATATATGGGAAAAGGACGAGGTAAAGAAATCAGATATGCTTCAGTCGTATACTGAAATTATTTTGTAGCCCGGACTTTATGGAATATTTTTTCTATTTGTATTAAATGCATTTATTATTTTCACATTTAATATTTACACTTTTTTAAATATTCCATTTTTGGTCACCATCATTTATTTTTCTCCCAACAAACAAATAAGTAAATGTTACTCTGATCCTCGTCTCCTGTTAAGACCTAATTTTAGAAAATAAATAATATATATACATATTATATAAATATATTAATAAATTTAAATACAGGGTACTGGACGGGTAGAGGGTACAATACCCGGCCCCAATCCCGATTTCAGTCTACCGAGGATCGTCGTCCCCGTCCCCATCTCCGTTCGAGTCGAGCGAATAGATTTCTCCAGTGGATCAGAGCAAATCATCATTCTTAATAAAATCTTTATCATTTTCAATAATATTTATATATTATTTGCCTGGTTCAGAATGGTTACAGTCATCAAGTACAATTTATTAATTTAATATTTTTTATAGATTTTGTTTTTTAATACAAAAATAATTAAAAATATATCTTTTAAATTTAAAAACAATATCTTATATGTCTCCACCCAAATTTGACCCTGTAGACCAAATGTTTTTGTCTATTAACACACTTTTTATTTATTTATATTTTATTATTTAATCAATTAACTTTATTTATTTATAATTTATATATATTCTTACTTAACAATATCTTGTTTTTATTATATTGTTGTCAAGATTTTATCGTTCTATAGTTTTGGGAGCGTGTTTATTTTTAGAAACACTGAATAATTTGGAAAAGTAAAGCATTCCTATTTTGTCAGTATTTATAATTAATACTGTTTTAGATAGAATCGTTGTCGTAAAGTAAAGGACGATGTTCAAATCCAATGAGTAATAAAAATCCCCTTGTGGCCACGGATGTTCAAATGCGGTAACTCCCGGCTATCTGCAAAGCAGGTGGTCGCCCTGAGATTAGTCGGCTCGCATAGCGGGTTTGGATATCCAGGTTAATCAAAAAAATAAAAAAATAAATAAAAGATGAGAATACTTGGACAAAGGTTATCATGTAAAAAAAACATGTTGTTGACTGTTTGACTCGATGATTTAACAATTATAAGTTAATAAATGTATCAGTGATTTTGGTGACGATATAAACGTGATCAATGAAATTTTAAGAAGCAGTGACACATTCAAAACGTTCGAGGACAAGATACACATTATGCATTAAAATATATGTTTTGGGATCAGATTTTTGTTTTTATTTTTTTAAATATGTAATATTTATATACAGCGAATGAACATATATATATATATATATATATAATATTTGTTAAGATTTGAACAATTTAAGTCCTAGAAGGTTAAATTTTACCAGTAACATAAATATTGTTATGTCAAAAACCCTTTGGTCAAAGTAACTTCCCCTTTAATTAATAATCAATATATTACAAGGGTGGTGTTTGATTGATTTGAGTTTAAGTTACAAATGTCAAAAGTGTTTGGAGGTCCTAAATTTAAATCCAATGAGAAATAAAAATCCATTTGTAGTCACAGAAGTTCAAATACGATGACTTCGAACTACCTACAAAACAAATGATTGTCTTAAGATTAGTCAACTTGCATAACAGATTAAATATTCAAATTAATTAAAAAACCTATAGCCTTTCCAAGGAGTGGATGGAAATTAGAAAGCAATTTTGCTTCTATCTACTTTTGATTATTTTAATTCCACAATATTTTATTTTGAATACTAATAAAACGTAATCATGGTGTACGGTCAAATTACGTACACCTATAAATCTCATAAAGTGTTAAGTCAAGAACGAGACAAATTCTTTAATTATTTTAAAAAATATTTTTATAACATAATATTTAAAAAAATAACATACAAGAAAATAAAATAAGCAAATTTTTCAAGAAGTAGAAAACAAACCAACACCGGATAAAAAGAGAATTGAAACACATGGAAGAAAGCGAAATCAGATAGAAACTGACATAACGAAAACAAAACACAGCCAACCGAACAACAGATAGATAAACCAAAGCTGACAACCATTCGCACCAAAAAGCACGAATCTATAGATGTTCACAGAAACCTTGCATGCTACATCTACCTGTTTAAGAGCGAACCTATAGTTCAAATCTAGCCCTAGGTCAGCCGAGTGGTTTCATCTTCTAGGTTCGCTAAATGCCAAAAAAATTACATTTTCTACCCTTGTCAGGAGAAAAAAATACATTTTTTCACTCAGGTCTGCAAAAAAATTGTATTTCTCACCCCAGTTCCCAAAAAAAAATTAAAATTACTGACCTAGGGTTATTTTGGTAAACCTTGTAAAGAAATGGTTAAGAGGTGAAACAATTTGATTAAAATACTATTTCAATTAATTTCCTAAATAAAAATATATTTTTTATTGAATTTTATTTTAAATATCATATACTTTACGTATCTTTCAAATGATTTTGAAATGATGAAGACCATAATAATGCCTTCCCTAACCTTTGAGATAGATCGTCTCCCTTGTGATTTTTAAGGTTTTCCCAATTAAAACAATATATTTTACAAAAAGAAAAATTGAAAAATAAAATTAGATTTAATTACCGATAAAGGTTATAAAATGGGTTAATCGTTCAATTTATATATCCGGTTAATGCTTCAGCAAATAGTACTGAGTTAGATACTATATCACTCGTCATATCAACATAGTAACCGGTTAATGCTTCAATCGGTTATTCGGATACTTAAATATTTAAAACTTTACATCTTAGATATCAAAATAGAAATTAAATTTATATAATTATAAATATTAATTAATTGATAAAAAGAGAAAAAGAAATTACTTTTTATAAAGATGTTATTCATTAAAATATGTATTAATGAAAAAGTAAGAAAGTAATGGGATTTTAAGAGTGGTGGTCCAAAAGGTAATTTTACAAAAAAAGGGAGTCACGTGTCGAATGGAAGTAGGCGTGTGGGGCATGAAAGCAGACCTCACTGTAGCACGAGCTGGCTTTGCTGACTCATCAACAAT